TAATTCAGTTTTTTTTCCTCCATTGAATGATTTATCTTGGGTTTATTTTTCGTTTTATAAGCTTAGAAAAAAAGTTTTTCTGAAAAACCTGTGGTGTTCTAGGTATTTCGAAGCTTCTGGAGCTTTATCAGTAGAATTTTCATTTTTAAAACATATCGTTGTGTAGAGAGAATTGTTCTCTCTATCGAACGAGAGATATAACTCGATATATTGGCATGTAGGATAAACATAATATAATAAAGAGACAACTAGTGACCGATTAATTATTTGGCACATTGTGTATAATATTTGAGTGCGTCTGAAAAACTTGACGTCAATTACTGAGTGATTCTCTTTTCTTTTTTAGTCTATCATATTTCAATTGAATATTTTATTTGAATATTCGAGGATGTTGGGGTTCATCATTGTCTGTATCAATGAGTCGTTTCTTTAAATTTGATACACGGTCAAATTGTTTTGAATAAAAAGTAGGAAGACCACATCGAGAATAACAATTAAGAGAATAAATGTTACGAAAATAAGTGTTTTAATTTGTTTTCGAAATAATGTATAACATTGATGATCAATGACTAAAATATACAAGACAGAAAAAATAAGTGCTTATACTAGATTCGGTTTGGCGTTATACGAGATGGAGTATAATTTCTATTTTAAGATTGAGATTACAACGTGCAATTAAAATCATGGAAACCGAAAAATTGACTACCATGATCTATTGACGAACACATTGAATCTAGGCAAAAGATTTTTTCATTTATTGGATTTGATGTTTATATTTGAATTATAAGTTTAAACAATAGCTTTTATAGAGGAATAAAATTCATTCACAATGATATTTTTTTAGTAAGAATCAATAGAAATTATAAAGTATTTTTCAGTTGAATTTGGAAAACTTTAAACATATATATCTTATACGCCAAAAATATAAGCTATTTTTTATTTTATTGGAAATTTTAACATGATCGTCATATTAATTATCAAAAACCAGTATGTACACTTTTTATTGAATTCTTTATAGTATATTTATGGATCATTTTCTAAATTTGTTTTTAAAACTTTTCAGGTTCAGTGTTTTATCTAGGTTTCGTTTGCTGGGTGGACGGTTGAAGCTTTTGGAGGAGCTGCTGTCGAATAGTTGTTTAATTCGACTTCGAATATATAAAACAGTATTTAGGAAAAAACAACTTTCATGTTTTTATAGCTAGAAAGAAAGACATTTTTTCTATACTGCCTTCACCTCCTTTCGATAGCAACACAACTCACACGGTAAACTTCGTGTAAAATATTTATTAGTTCAAAGGGACACTCATGTTGATTAGTAGAAAAAGCAATAGATTTAGTTTCGCAATTTATGAATCCATAAATGAGAATAGCTACCTGTTTTCTATTTCTGCTCTTTAACAGAGTTGCGTCGTTTAGTAAAGTTTTTCTTTTACTATTTGTACTCTTTCGAAATGGAAGCAATTTATTTTCATTTATTTTCGAATTGGAAATAGTTATTCAATTCTTGATTTATATTCGAAGTTTAATTAGACATCTCATGAAGAAAAAAGAAGGCAAAAATAGAGAAAATTGGATGAAAATAAAACGTACTATCAGAAGATCAATAGACGACCGATGGACGTATCTTTGATTAAGACTGGAATCTGCGTTATTCATTGAATTACCGGCCAGTTCTAGATTTATCCACGCGGTAATCAGCAATGTGTGTATCTACCACATTCTCAAGTGATAAGCATTTGTAGAATGTGTTTGTATTTATGAATATTAAAGAAAACGGTGTCTTTTTTATTACTGATAAAAAGCATGTTCGATCCATGAGGTGTCGCTCAATGGTAGTAATGGTTGCAGTGCTTAGATACCATTAGTGTTTTATTGTCTCTATATGACAAATACCAATCAGAGTCTTTCTTTCATTCACGATTCGTGAATCATGAATCTGAATCTTTATTTCAATGAGTCATAATCAGGGAGGAAGAACATTCTGCTTATCAGAAGTAAACGAAACAGTTATTGTCGAGAATAAGTTTGCGTTTGATTCAAATGAAACAATATTAATTAATCAAATTCATTCTTTTTTCCAACACTTCATTAAGCAGTATTTCTAATCAATTTGATCATTAGTGGCCATCTAATTGTTCAATAATTTGTATGCATGCATCATCATAAAATTGACACATTTTCTTGCTTTCAAAAGATATATGTCAAGAATTAATTGTAGTTGAGATTTAAATTGATTCTAGAGGTTTTTCTTTTTGGATATAATTATTCAACTTTGCTAAGAAGTTTTTAGCAACAGTCCATATCATTATTGTCCATTATGTTTTGAACATTTCAGTTTATTATCGATAAACCGATCAATCTTACCTATCCAAATTAGTAATCCAGTGCGTAGATTCGATGAATTGCTTCGAACATCTTTCTAACGAACTGTTGTTGGATATTTTCGAATTCATAAATCCTCGGCATTTATTTTATCATTTTTGGAATATCAATTCACGTTTAAACAATCTGCTTCTCTCAATTAAACACCTACGACTTGTTATTGATGAAACAGAAAGCCACGAACTAATCAGTGCACTAGCTCCTCATGCAGGTCTTTTAACGGTAAACACATGGGATGATATTGATTTACATAAATTTCGTAACTTATATTCATTAAAATTGGCTCGACCAACACAAATACAATTAAAACAAATTCGAGCTGATACCATGCCAAATTTGACATATCTTTTATTATCACCAAATGTATACTTCTCTGCTCCTAAACAACTTATCAGTGATGCATTTACAGGGGAATTTCGTCATCTTCGTTGGGCTCGATTAGGTNGTAAACACATGGGATGATATTGATTTACATAAATTTCGTAACTTATATTCATTAAAATTGGCTCGACCAACACAAATACAATTAAAACAAATTCGAGCTGATACCATGCCAAATTTGACATATCTTTCATTATCACCAAATGTATATTTCTCTGCTCCTAAACAACTTATCAGTGATGCATTTTCAGGGGAATTTCGTCATCTTCGTTGGGCTCGATTCGGTCATATCGATTCTTACGATCCTCTATGCCGCTTTCAATCATTGTCTCTTCGTTATCTTCATATCGGTTGTTATCATACAACTCTAATTCCTTTTGTTCTAGCGACATGTCCAAATTTGCAGCAACTCAATGTTGATTGTTTGCGTTCTGGAGACAAAACCATGTATTCACCAGCAATGATTGATAATCATCTGCTTCAACAAATCATCGGACCGATTTGATTGTCATATAACAGAGTGTCCAATCGATTCAGCAAGTTTAGTAGCTATTCAACGAATTCACCCATGCTGTAGTCATATTACATGTCATACAATACGAGAGAAATTTCGAATATTTGATACACAAACCAAATAGATTTTTTTTCTTAATCGAGAATATCTTGTCATTTTCTAATGGTAACGTTAATTTATCTTAGAAACGAACTACTACATTTTAGGCTCGTTTCTCTGTTCAGTTTCTATTAATAAATATTCAAATTATTAACCAAAGATTTTAGACAGTCTAATATACATAAATTCATTCACATATTGAGTGAAATTGTTGAAAAGACCTGGATGTAAGTTTAAATTAAAAAACAGCTGTATATCCCAAACATTTTCTACTATCTTTATACTGTATTTTTTTTTATTAAATTATGAATAGAGTCCGATAGTCTTGCCCGACAAACGTAAATCTCTTTTACTGAATAATAGTAAAAAATGTTCAGTCTTTCAATTGTTTATAAACGCTTGCAGGAAGAACACTTAAATTGTCCAATTTATTCAAAATCCAATGGGTGATCCAAGCAGGCATCATAGAGACTGGGGAAAAGATGAAACTTGATTGCCAACCTGGTCGATAACGAATACTAGGTTTTGTATTGATAATAGCATGCTGAAGTGCTCGTACCACTTTCATTGGATTTTCAGCATATTTAATTAATAGACTGGTTGCTTTTTTGCTCAATTTTTCTTTAACAAAATCTTCACCCCATCTCATTTGTACATCTTTTGATAGTGATGACCAGAGATCTTCAAATGAGATAGATGTTGATTCGAGGATTGGCGTACGCATAAATCCTGGTTCAATAATACTAACACGTAAACCCCATGGAGCCATTTCTCGACGAAGACAATCCGAAAATGATTCTAAAGCATATTTTGACGCTGAATAAGCCGATAGACATGGTGGTGCTAAAAATCCAGCTACTGAACAAATATTAATAACGCGTGAATCACGTTTACTAATTAATAAAGGTAGGAGTTTTTTTGTCATTGCCACATGTCCAAAAAAGTTTACATCCATTGTTTTACGTAAGAATTCTGATGTATTCCAATCAATATAACCGCTGATAGCGATCCCTGCATTATTAACAAGTGCATGTAGTGTATTTGTTTTCTTCTCGACCAATGCATAAACAGAATTAATATCTTCATCTTTTGTTATATCAAGACGAAAAACAGTAGCATTTGATGAAAGTTCATTTTTAAGTGAAATTATATTATCATTAACATAAACACCAGCTAATACATTAAAACCTTGTTTATCAAGTTCAATAGCTAATGCATGACCAAATCCTGTATCGCAACCACTAATAAGAACATATTTATCCTTTGGATTAATATCTGGCGATGGAAAGAAATGTTTATATAAATAATAGGCCACATAAAGTAAAATCACTAAACTTAATGTGCAACACATCGTCTGTCTTATGCCACTACTATCACGATGACTACTTATTTTTCTTCTTCTTCTGCTATCAATTGAGATCCTTGATCGAAAGAATGAGAGGAATAGAATGAAAAAAATTAAAATTGTAGAACGAAAAACACATGTTAATTAAAAGAAATCGATCGACCGTGTTTTTGTTATTTTTCTTTATTTTTATCGGTGATAAGAATATACTTCATAATCAAGCGAAAATATCGTCTACCACTAGGTCCTATGTTGTATCGTATGATTTCTTGCGTTTATTCATTCTAATTACTAAAAGAAATGTTAAAAATAATATAGATTTCATGGGTTGCCTAATTCGAATACGAAAATAAATGGATATTCAACTACATGGCATCAATTTGTAAATAAGTGATAGACATAGATTTAGTTTTAGATTTAGATTTACTTTAAGATGGGGTGGGCTGAGGAAGACTAAGCGGTAACTGTGCGTGGTGGTGAGAGTGATGGGTATCAAAAATGGGTGCGTGGGTACTCGGAACTTCATATGTGGGTGTGAGTGATGGGTACCATGTAGGGGTGCTCAAATGTGGATGTTGTTGTAGGGTTATATATGTGTTCATACGTCGTATATATCGGAGAGTTAAACTCAAAACTAAATCTATTCCTAGATTTATCTAGTAGTTTTTCTTTTTCTTTTCTCCATTTATGTTCGAACTCGAATTAGGCAGCTACTCTGAATAATGGTTTTTAAAGATTTCCTACCATTTCCACTGTTTTATTTTCATAAAATATTCAAGTCGAATGCCACAATCGTTTACTGTCAAATTCTGTGTTCGTTTTTCATTTACAGTCGATTAAAATTTGATTCTCCTAAAAGAGTACTTGAATAATGAATCATTAAAATTGTAATGATGTATGCGAAAATTAGTTTCAAACTCATAACAACTTTTCCGGTTTTAAATGCATAAAATGTGAATACGAACGATAAATAGATGATAAAACATGTAGCTATATATGATTCATTATTCACCGTTATTTATTTATACAAATCACATGATTGCATTCTACAGAAATATACGAAGTCAGTGTTTATTTTTTTTTAATCCCATCGACACTGTAAAACATGACATTTGATGTATGCCATTAACAGAATCGTTAAAGAATAAGTGGAATAGGACTTGGAGGATTGTATCTTAAGCTCTCTATTTTGATACTTTGAATATAATCTTTGATCTTGTTCCATGTCGACTTAATAAACAGTACGGTAACACATTCCATTAATACAATATAAAGTGTCGAGAAAATCAATAAAACGATTATTCTAATTTTAAAATAAAACGTTGAAGAGTGTGTATTAGATGATTGACCATCACGATCACTACACCTAGAATATAAAAGGTTTGAACATTGTGTTTCACTATCTTTACATAGAACAAAAGTAGAAGTAAAGCACAAACTACGAAACAATCATTTTCATATTATTTTAATGAGACTCCTCTACACGAGAAAACATCAAGGAGGCTGTAGTATCAAGCATTAAATGGGTACACAGAAAGCTTTATGCATGGTGTTACATTCAACGGAAGGTATACAACAGAAAAATCACCAACAGAACAGGAAAGCGTATCTCTCTTACTATGAAAACGTACCATTATATTGTCTTTTTATAATGACTAGTGGAAGTTGTAGATTTGAACAAACCTATCATCAAAAATAAACGAAGCACGTATAAATTCACATTAACTGATACTGCACAGAAAATCTTCAACTTTCTTGTGATAAGCAAAAATGACATTTAAGCTTACTTCCTGCTATTGTTAACCAGTTCCAAATTCTCGATGTATTCGATGCAGGCGAAACCGAACGATTTGAAGATCCTAAAAGACAAATGCAATATGTACGGTCAATTTTTCTAATAAGAACAGATATTTCGGAGGTATGACGAATATCAGTTTTGAATAAAGAACTCTAAATGTAAACATAGATTTTTTAGTATGTTTCAGTAGAAAAAAGTTTTCTCTATCGAATAATGAAAAAATTATATATCGATCTAGAAAATTAAATCAATAATTAGCGGTAGTAGCTAAGAAATTGAATTTGTTCTTATTACGAAGATTGATCCGAATTCGAACAGCCTGCAAAACTGTTCCTAATAAGAAAAATCTATCTGAAATACATAGAAAATTAAATATTTTTAGTAGATGAATTTTTTTCTTATTTAAAATTGAAATTTTTGTTTTGAGCCCATCACAAAAAATGTTCCTTGATGTATTGTTGATTTAACTCCGGCGGCTTAAGGCAAACATAGCTTTAATTTTCTATTAGTAACATCAATTTGAAATCACCTTATTCACCATTAAGTCATAAACTACAATAACTCAATCGTAATTTTGTATTCTCCTTTATTTGGTCTATAGTTGTGAGACTTTTTTTCTTATTGAAATTTCCGTAACAAATTTCAATAATGTAGTCTTATCAGTCATAATACATATAAAGCTGATTAAAAAAGCGACATCTCCAAAGAAGGATAATGCAAAATCTAATTCTATGGAAAATGTTTGCATAGCAAATGAATCATGAATGACAGCTGTTTTATTATACCTTGATTTTGGTATTGATGTATGTATGCATAAAAATCAGATAGAAACATACGTAAAAATGAACTTAAACAGAATTTTTCAAATTACGCGAAAAACGTAGTCTTGAATTTAAAATAATTTGTAATCTTTTTTTCTTTCTAAGACGTAGCACATGCTTATACTTATGAGTTGAAAGAATACTCATTTTCACTGATTCGTACTCGAACTTTTTCAAGAACGATCACTGGATTAAAACCAAGAGACGATTTTCAAAAACTATTTTTATGAACAAGCATAGAACCAAAACTATTTTCTAAAGCCACCTTCATGCCGAAAATATCTTTTACTATAAGCCAGCAAATACCCAGGTCGAAGAGTATGCGCCGGTTCCGACGGTATCCGTTCTCCAGAATCATTGACATGATAGACGAAACAATTTTAATTATTTTTGACCAAAAGACAATTCAATACCAATAAACTGCTGAGTTTGAACACAACATCAGCTCAATTTCGGAACGACTTAGATTAACGATCTAGTATCAGTTGCTCATTCTCATGTTTCTTAATTAAATTTTTCTTTTTAAATCTTTTCAAAACTATAGTTTTAAACAAAATGGTGATATTCACTCTTTCTTATATAACTTTGAATAATGACCATAACGCTTAATACAAACGTCTTGTATTGATAATACTACTGATAAACATAAGCAGATAAACTTTGAGGAAGAAAAGAAAAATGAAACAAAACATTCCTGCTGACACAGAACAGTTATTCGTTTTTCTTGTCATGCACAAAAATCTAAATAATTTCTTCAAGTTTATTGCAAAACAAAAAGAAAAAAGCTGAAGGAACACTATAAATTGCTTTATTTCAAAAATCAGACGCTCGACCACCAGATTAATCGATAATTTCATACAGATTACAAACTCAATGGCTATATTCCGTGTCAAAAAAATGCATGAAAGAAATTAGCTTGTTACAAAATAATGCATGCAGAGCAATACGAACGTAAACGGGTACAACTTTGTTTTCATAGAATTAAATTTTGCATAATTCTTCTTAGAAGATATCGCTTTTTAGTCAATTTCATATGTATTATGACTGATCAGACTACATTATTGAAATTCGTTACGGAAATTTCAATAAGAAAAAAAGTCGCAGAACTGTAGAACAAATAAACGAGAATATAAAATAACGATTGAGTTATTGTAGCTTATGACTTAATGGCAAATAATATGATTTCAAATTGATGTTACTAATAGAAAATTAAACTTCTGTTTGGTTTCAACCGCTGGAGTTAAATGAACAATACATCAAGGATCATTTTTGTGACGGACTCAAAAGAAAAATTTCAATTTTAAATAAGAAAAAAATTCATCTACTAAAATTATTTAATTTTCCGCGTATTTTAGATAGATTGTTCTTATTAGGAACATTGACTATATCACAGTGGAATCTCTTGTTTCTTTTTTCTTACCATCACGATATACTAATTCATATACTACAGTAGGATCCCAATCAAATCTAAAATGACCACTTTCATCGCTTGGTATGCTAAAACGACAGAAAGTATTTTTCCAGAGTGTCGCCTATATTAGATTTAAAAAAACAGACCTGATATACTGATTAAGCTCGTTGTCTTGAAAAATGATAGTGGTTGCACCAGGAAATGTTCTTTTAAAATAATCCATTCTAAGAACATTATCTGGTCCAATAAGCAGCCGCACTACTCGTTTGTTTCTTTTATCGTTGATGCAGACGTAGTTCATACCGTAAAATTTACTCTAAACACAACACAGATTGATTGATAAAGAAAATGTACAAATGTCATCAATAAACTTGCTGAAAAAACAAAATCTTCAGATGTTGTTGTTTTGATTCAGCAGAGCTAATCTAAGAACAAGTGCAGGTGCAACAGGCAACACAAATATTATTCTGAAAATATTTAATTAAATAAAAAACGAAATTGAAAAGAAAATGCTTGTTTTTCTAATCGATGAAATTACTCAGAACAAAGAACCGGATCCATCGGACACACTCGAAATTCTATTGCACACACACATATATATATATATATATATATATATGTAAATAACACATATGTGAATCTCTCCTTTATAATATCATTCCATCTGTTTCTATACGCACCAACATTCAAATGCGTGTTGCTGACTTAATTAAAGTTTCTTTAACTTTCTTAGTATATTCCGTGACTGAATAATGAATTTCAGATAGGGATGATAAATAAGATAGTATTTGAGATATATTTTTAACAATTTACAACAAAAATATACAATAATACTAACACAGTGGCAGAAAAAAACGAAGTCAAATGCAATAAAACAAGCATAAAATTATAGTAAACAAGAGGAGTAAAATAAATGAAAATCTAAAACAACATAAATTGAACTAAGTAATTTCTATTTACTATTCGTTCATTTGACTAGCTGTCATACTCATCTGCAAGTCACTTTAGGACAGTGAAAATTTGACTCTGGCCAGTGGAAAACGAATTTTTGGCGTCATAAAAATATAACAAATATACTTCGCGCGTTGCTTGTTGATCACAAAAAGCAAAACTAGACACTCTCATATTGTCGAATTCCATAGGAACCGACAAGTTAACCTTTTGTTTTGTATGTTCTAATGTATATTTGTATTAGAAAAGTTGATTTATTCGACACTGCACATCAATGTTTGCTGGTGAAGGTGTCAGGGAGTGACAGTGTCATAGTATTCCTGATAAGGACATTGCTGTCAGCCAACGAACAAAGATTGTCAATACAAAAATGGTAATTCTTTTGTGTAAATGATTGATTAATTATTTTGACCCAATGAAAATTGATGACGAGAAAGATTTCTGCTACTCATTCGGATATTAGAGCCATCTACCGATACTATACTATAATGTTGAAACTCAAGAAAATGTTGTTGCAACATAAACATAAAGCATTTAGTCTAGTGATTTATGTAAAGGATGACCAACTGTTTTAATTCATTGGGACTGAAAATGAGGGGCTGAAAAATTTACGGAAAATTAAGTAAAGCAATTAATGTCATGAATAATAAAAATGTTCGAAGTAGAATAAGATCAGAAAAACTTGGCGTATGTCATAATTTTGCAATTTGAATAGGTCATGAAAGTAATCTTTAAAATGATTATTGGTTGTTTTATTTTCAATGCAGTTGATTTTTGAAAGTCACTATTATTTAAATTTGTTATTTCATACATAGAAACAATATTATTTTCTTTTGAATATTTTTCAGATGATAATGGAGACATTTGAATAAGTTGTTGAACATTATTGTTTATCAAAGTTGTATCCATAGTTAATAGTAACAATTACTGATCTATTTTTTGTGAAAAGAATGTAAATATTTTAAATTGTAACTGATTGACTTTTATGTATGTTTCTAGACATGTTGAAATAAATGAACCAAAAAACGAAAGACCAGAGCGAAAAGGTTAATGATTAAAACTGTAATCTGAAAAATGTAAATTCTTTTATATCATATTTATTGATAACCGACTATTTTTGATTTTTTTCTTCTTATATTATTATTAAAGACATGAATGTGAACGTAGTGCAAATTTTTTTCTTTTGAAGGATCGTGGTATGATTTGATTTTATAGTACATTCGATTTAGACGACCAACGTCATTAACAAGTGTAAAAGGGCATGCTTTTCTTTTTTAAATATTTTCATTTTTTTTTGTAGTGAACTAAACAGCAACGATCCAATACAGCGTACACATCTTGCAACACCTTGTGAAGTTGGTATATAGTTGACAAATAGGAAAAACCTAGTTACCAAAACAACACCAACTAATGATAATAACTAAGTATAATAGAATAGATTTTTATGATTCCTTTTTTGGTTTATTGTAAGGAACTTGAAAAGAATTTTGCAGTGCATCGTCTAGATGAAAACATTTCTATCCGAGAATAAACAGGCAATTCTATCAATTTTTCTTTCTCTACTTATAACTTTTCATAAGAGGATATTATTATTTCTTGTCGTTGGAATATAATTATTCAATTTTGTAGAAATAAATTCATATCTTGAGGAACATTCTAATGAGAACTGAGAACGATAATGTAATATGTGGAACTTTAAAATGCTCAATCAACAATAGAAAGCTACAGCTTAAAAAAACTCTTCAAGCTTTAATTTCGGATGAAATGAAACAAAATTGAAAGTGTCATTTTTTTAACTTAATTTAAATATAGGAAGGAACATACACTTTGGCTTATGCATTATTTGAAAACACCCTAAACAATCTGCTTCTCTCAATTAAACATCGTCGACTTATCATTGATGAAACAGAAAGCCACGAACTAATCAGTGCACTAGCTCCTCATGTAGGTCTTTTAACAGTAAACACATGGGATGATATTGATTTACATAAATTTCGTAACTTATATTCATTAAAATTGGCTCGACCAACACAAATACAATTAAAACAAATTCGAGCTGATACCATGCCAAATTTGACATATCTTTCATTATCACCAAATGTATATTTCTCTGCTCCTAAACAACTTATCAGTGATGCATTTTCAGGGGAATTTCGTCATCTTCGTTGGGCTCGATTCGGTCATATCGATTCTTACGATCCTCTATGCCGCTTTCAATCATTGTCTCTTCGTTATCTTCATATCGGTTGTTATCATACAACTCTAATTCCTTTTGTTCTAGCGACATGTCCAAATTTGCAGCAACTCAATGTTGATTGTTTGCGTTCTGGAGACAAAACCATGTATTCACCAGCAATGATTGATAATCATCTGCTTCAACAAATCATCGGACCGATTTGATTGTCATATAACAGAGTGTCCAATCGATTCAGCAAGTTTAGTAGCTATTCAACGAATTCACCCATGCTGTAGTCATATTACATGTCATACAATACGAGAGAAATTTCGAATATTTGATACACAAACCAAATAGATTTTTTTTCTTAATCGAGAATATCTTGTCATTTTCTAATGGTAACGTTAATTTATCTTAGAAACGAACTACTACATTTTAGGCTCGTTTCTCTGTTCAGTTTCTATTAATAAATATTCAAATTATTAACCAAAGATTTTAGACAGTCTAATATACATAAATTCATTCACATATTGAGTGAAATTGTTGAAAAGACCTGGATGTAAGTTTAAATTAAAAAACAGCTGTATATCCCAAACATTTTCTACTATCTTTATACTGTATTTTTTTTTATTAAATTATGAATAGAGTCCGATAGTCTTGCCCGACAAACGTAAATCTCTTTTACTGAATAATAGTAAAAAATGTTCAGTCTTTCAATTGTTTATAAACGCTTGCAGGAAGAACACTTAAATTGTCCAATTTATTCAAAATCCAATGGGTGATCCAAGCAGGCATCATAGAGACTGGGGAAAAGATGAAACTTGATTGCCAACCTGGTCGATAACGAATACTAGGTTTTGTATTGATAATAGCATGCTGAAGTGCTCGTACCACTTTCATTGGATTTTCAGCATATTTAATTAATAGACTGGTTGCTTTTTTGCTCAATTTTTCTTTAACAAAATCTTCACCCCATCTCATTTGTACATCTTTTGATAGTGATGACCAGAGATCTTCAAATGAGATAGATGTTGATTCGAGGATTGGCGTACGCATAAATCCTGGTTCAATAATACTAACACGTAAACCCCATGGAGCCATTTCTCGACGAAGACAATCCGAAAATGATTCTAAAGCATATTTTGACGCTGAATAAGCCGATAGACATGGTGGTGCTAAAAATCCAGCTACTGAACAAATATTAATAACGCGTGAATCACGTTTACTAATTAATAAAGGTAGGAGTTTTTTTGTCATTGCCACATGTCCAAAAAAGTTTACATCCATTGTTTTACGTAAGAATTCTGATGTATTCCAATCAATATAACCGCTGATAGCGATCCCTGCATTATTAACAAGTGCATGTAGTGTATTTGTTTTCTTCTCGACCAATGCATAAACAGAATTAATATCTTCATCTTTTGTTATATCAAGACGAAAAACAGTAGCATTTGATGAAAGTTCATTTTTAAGTGAAATTATATTATCATTAACATAAACACCAGCTAATACATTAAAACCTTGTTTATCAAGTTCAATAGCTAATGCATGACCAAATCCTGTATCGCAACCACTAATAAGAACATATTTATCCTTTGGATTAATATCTGGCGATGGAAAGAAATGTTTATATAAATAATAGGCCACATAAAGTAAAATCACTAAACTTAATGTGCAACACATCGTCCGTCTTATGCCACTACTATCACGATGACTACTTTTTTTTTTTCTTCTTCTTCTGCTATCAATTGGTAGTTTGATCGAACGAATGAGAATAACAGAATAAAAAAGATAAAAATTATAGAACGAAAAAACATGTTTTAACCCTTTCCAGTCGTCTCCCAAAAGCGACATAGTTAAAACGCTTTTTATGCCTGTATTTTCTTATCCTGGCATAGAGATAGCAAAAAGCTAATTCTTAAAATTGAACGGTGCTTCTATGTAGAATGGCTGCTTGTTGCGATTTGGCAACAGCCGGCCGTAAAGGGTTAAAACTTTGAAAAATTCATTTGTCGTTTTCGATCATCGAAATTCACTATTTTGCGTTCCTTTCATATAATTATTCAAGAAAAAAGTGTAAAAAATATATACGATACGCCTGCACAGTTTCACCGCGATTAAAATCGACTTCTGTACGAAACATTTGGCATACGTTGAACTTAAGGAGAGAGTAGATGTGTGAGTTTTTGTGTTAGTTGGCATCAAGATAGGTATTCTTGCAGATCTTTTATTTCTCTACATCCGTACCGATATGTAAATTAAATATCCATTTCCATTCCAGTTATTGAAAGCTAGAATACTATCATGCTGGCTTTTTTCCATAGAAAATTCCATTTAAAGCTAAGGAAAAGCTATGTAAATGCATTAGATATGTTTTGTATGCTTTGTTCTTGTATGAATAAATGAAAAAACACAAGATAGCAAATAACGATGGTCGAAAACGAAAAATGATTTTTCAAAACTTTTGAGCCCTCACGACCGGTGTTGTCATTTGGCAACATCCATACCTCTTATTGTCAGTACTCATTGAATCATCTCTTTGAGTGATGCAATATACAATAGGCCAAGGAGGGGAAATTTACCAATAGTGACCTGTGGGATTGAATGATTGAGGGTACCATAAGAAAATCTATTATGATTCAGCTGTTCTTTAGGAGTATTCAGGAGGACTCCGATAATTTTCTCAGCTGAACGTTTTTGTTTTGTTTCATGGGCTATGAGTGTGTTCTAAAATATCTTGTAATAATCATTGAACTATTGATTCACTATCTGTCCACAGTATAGCTAGACCTTTCTTAAGATATCGGCACAATGTTGCCAAATGACAACATCCGGCCGTAAAGGGTTAACTGAAAAAAATCGATCGGGCGTGTTTTTGTTATTGTTCTTTATTTTTATCGGTGATAAGAATATACTTCATAATCAAGCGAAAATATCGTCTGCCACTAGGTCCTATGTTATATCGTATGATTTATTGTGTTTATTCATCCTAATTACTAAAAGAAATGTTAAATATAATATAGATTTATCGTAGACTTCGCAATTTACTGTAAGCCTTTGTTAATCAAAAAATGAGAACATAGAAAGATGTTAAGAATAGTGCTCATATAAACTTGTAAATTTGTTTAGAGATTTTATTTTTCAATGCTTTCAACATAACTTTTCATTAAATATTTGAATTCGATGAATCGGTGATGAAATCCAAATGTTTCAACAATAATGATTTCTGCTAATCTGTTTCAAGGAATAGTTGATGACGAGTTGATAGTGTTTTATACTATCACGTAGCTTAGAATTTAAATTATATGTATCATGTTACTCCGAATTTGGTGTACCGAATATTATATTTCTCTCTATTCATTATTTTACTGGATAAAAGAGAAAAATAGTTCTGAAATAAACTTGAAACAGCGTGATAGCAGTTTTTTTAATTATATCAAAAGTGATGTTAAAATTCATGAAAAAAGAATCTATCATCGAATTACATACGTTTACTCATAGATTTCTTTCTGTTTCCTTCAAAACAAAAGATTGATAAAATAAATCGTATGCAGCGATGTACTGTGTTTCATTTCCAACATTTATTGGCACAGACGCAGAACTACTGAAAATGAATTCAAACTTATCATTACTTTAGCACTTCTATTAGGTTCGTATTCTGTGTTAAAATTTGTATTCTAAATAGGATTTAAGATTTTTGTCTTATTATCAGGCATATATTTATAAAGCCAAAATTTATTTGCTATAGAATTCTCTACTGAATTAGCGCAAGATAATTTTCGATTTCTATTGTTTTAATTAATGTTTTTTACGTTTTATTGTGTGAATCAAAATATTTTTTCTTGTCATAATTGATTCATAAAATATAAATCAACCAACTAAAATCTCTTTCATTGATGTGAATCGGCACTAGCAAGATCAAATAGAGACTAACATTCGCAGAGCTGCCAATTATTCTGTCGACAAGAGTAGTACAGAGATATCTCCATGATATCATCACAGAAATATAATAGTAATGATGCGTTTGTCTAGGATATGGAAACATTTGTAGATATCTGCTCTGTTTTTTTTTTATACCGAATTGATTCAGTTTTTAATCAAAATGAATGTTAATTCATGACTTTTAATCAGTTCTATTGAAATTTACAAAGTAAAATGTAACACTGATGTCTAGCAATCATGTTTTACTTTCATTGCGATGGATTCTCACTAATAACTAGACATATCGATTTAGAATACGACGGTTCATGTTAGTGAAGCCCTGGTGATGTCTATGTAATTTCCATGTCACATAAATTGACCCTTCATGTCTCTGAACATTGCATAAAAAAGAAAGGCAAGAGCGGTACTGTTCCATCAGAATGTGGACTTCGCTGAGCTTATTGAAATGCATCATCAAAAACAAGAGTTCATTAAACTAAGATTTAACATATAAAATTCTCCAGTCGATTTTATTTCCTGTGTTATTCATCGGGCGTCGACATCCTAAGAGTCACTGTTATTTGTTAAGTCTGAGCAACATTAATTAAGAATGTATTCAAAATCGAGTTAATTTTAGCAATGATTATAACTTTCATTACACTCTAATCCATCAAAATTGCGTGACATAAAGGCTTTTATGCTACTAATGTACTCTTAGGATAACAAGAAAAAGAAATCGAAACAATATGGCTAATAATAGCATCGCTCAAACATAATATTAACCGTCGAATAATTTTAGACTTAATATGATATTATTCAAAATATTTCTTTTTAATATTTTATTTTCAAGATATTTTGTATTTCCGTTGATCATCGTTTGTATTGTTAAATTGAGCAACAAAATACAATATACCAGTACATGGTTGATCTTTTGTTAATTATATTGGAAACCGATGTTGAGATTTTAGGATTATCTATGAGCTATTAAAAATCAATTGGAAATGAATTCGGATGTCTCAAAATTTAGCAATTAAAATTTTCGATAGATTCAATGAAAAACAACACAGAACGTGTCTTGAGTGTCATGTGAAATCGGCGAATTGATGTTGAGAATTTGTTTTTCAGACTATTCTTGAAGTTCTCTTTATGAAAATTAACCGAAAGATTTCTACAGGCCGAAATTTGGCATTTTCGATAGATATTTCGCCGGTGATTTTTTTTCAGAGCGACATTTCACATGAACACTTATCTATAATCTTCCCACACAAGAAATTAATCAATAATGCGTACAATCCGAAGAAAAGTTGTTTAAAACAAGAAAACTCAATTCGGCACAAACTTATTTTACACATGAATGGTTTAGCTTATTTACAGATCTCATCATGTGACGGATATTTTATCATTCGAATAATCAATGCAATAAGGTTAATATTTCTAAAGTTCAAGTTTGTAGTGTAATCAATATTATTTCATAAACTCTACATGACACTTCAAATGAAAATCCAGACTATTGTTGTTTTATTTTGCTCATTCAGCAATTGTGATTGTTTTGTGCGAACATTTATATGTCCCTTTGCATATCATACAACTTACTGTAAAAGATTACTGACACGACGAAATTTCACTAGCAAAAAACTGAAGTACTTTCATCGAGTCATCAATTGTACCAATAAGATGAAATGAAACTCTGAATAAGTCATTCCAGTATACGCTCTTCAATACATTATATGTGTGTTAACAATACTGATCAATCTCAGCTAAGCTTGTGAGCAGCATTAGCTCATACGTAGTTTGCTGCGTATCGAAGTGTATTTAATTTTAAAAAAAGCAATGATTTCTTTGCTTTCTCATACGCTGTGAGAGCTATTTTGATATATGTCTGTTCTGATTCTCTCTTATCCAATGATCTATTTGTAGAGAACATTGACTTTCTTTCTAACACCATATTATTAGATTTTACATTTGATTCTTGAATTTGCGACATTGGAAAGCGTCTCTCTTAAAAAAATGAATAATTTCTTTCAAGATGCAACAAGCACATTGTTTCCCCGAAGATAACTTAAAACTCTGACGACAAAGATTATTGTACGATTACAAGTAAGAAATGAAGAAAACTTCACAATAAGTAATTAAGTTATTCCGATTGATTATTTTTCTAACTACAATTTTGGCTTAATAAGTTTTTAGTTCTCTTTAGAATTTGCTGGGCAACATTTTTCGAAACTATTGAATATGAAAAAAGTGAGCTTTAATCATGCTTATTCAGTCTCGAATAGGATGTTAAGGAGGAAAATTGTGCTGGGTCAGTAAAAGAAAGTAGGACATACTCGAGAAATTTCTTATTAGTACATTCAAAGGTTTACATACATTATATGAAACCTCGTTACTTTCTAGTTGATCGATTAAAATCTTGACAAGCAATAATCTTCGTCAATGATAATACTTTGAATTCAAATTTTAAACTAAAAACTATATCATGTTGTGACTAGACCATATCATTCTACTTAATTTATATTGTGTTGAAAGGACGAGAAAAAATTGAGAATAAACACACTATGAGGTGAATCGGGCGACAACCGGAAACAGACATAGCTATTTTATGCCGGTTTGATTATCATTATATATTTTCACAAGTTTTGATCTATTTAGTTAACTTTAGTTTTCGCAATTACAGCTATGTATTCAAGCAAAGACACTGAAAATCAATCATTAGCAGAGCAAGAAAGCAACAATTTCAACATGGCAATTCCATTTCCTGTTCGATTTTGGATTTTTCTCATATCTCTTATACCATCATTTGTTTGTTACGTTTTTGTTCTTTGGCATCTGCTGTGTGATCGAGTCCTACGAGGTACTCTCAGTAATCATACGATTATTTTACTCTTGATTATCAATCTAATCTATGAATTAATCAATATTCCATTATATCTTAGCTATTTTTATCATTCCGGTAATATCTTTCCAAGTACACCAAATATATGTCTCTTATGGATATTTATTGATGAAGGTCTGTTCTCTATTTCATTGCTTATCACTGCTTGGGCTTCAGTTGAACGATATATTATTATCTTTCATAAAAAATTGATCTCTACTTGGAAAGGGCGTGCTCTTTTTCACTATGGCCCATTAATCATTCTTGTTGTTTATTTATTCTTGTTCTTTTCTTTTGCTGTTGTATTTCCACCGTGCAAAAACGCATTTGAGTATGATGCTCCTGTTTGTGGTTCTCCTTTATGTTATTACGATGTAAAGTTAGTTGGTATATGGGATGTTCTGTTTCACGATATTTCACCTATAGTTGTGATGGCTGTCTTTAATGTAACTTTATTTTTTCGTGTGATTTTGTGAAAACGTCGATGGGCTCAACTGATCGAATGGGGAAAATATCGAAAAATGGCGATTCAGCTATTAAGTATATCAGCTCTTTACTTTTTTCTTCATATTCCAGACATGATCTTAACTTTAGCTACACTTAGTGGTGCACACATAAGTTTCAGTGATGTATTTGAAACTTATACCAAGTTTTTTTCTACTTACACCACCTTTTTGTTACCGTTTACAAGTGCAGTTTCCCTACCAAATCTAAAAACTAAGCTGAAGAACTTATATCCTTATCGATTTCAACCGAAAAGACCACGCAATACGAACATAGAGTTGAATAGAGGGAATGATGCTCGACAAACCAATGCAGTATTACCTATGGTGAAAGAATGATTATTACATTTATTTTATGATTACGCAGAACAATCATTCATTCGCTATTTTTGTTGTCTTTTTCTGTTATATTAAAAAACAATAAATTATTAAATATAAAAATATAAGGCATCGTATTATTCTGTATATACACCAGCGCTACGACTAATCACTGCAAATTATTTGAAGTATATCGATACTATGAGAATGCAGAGTGCAAATAAGGTACGACGTATGTTTTTAATCACAGTGAATATTCAGGCTGAAACCCACTGAATTAATAAGATTTTCATACTGAACATGACTTACAGAATGGTTGTCACGCCTGAGTATAGTAGTTGATAATTTTTCGAATTACAAAACGTATTTTGATATTTTTAATGAAGTTTTATAATTGCAGTAGGATAATCATTCTGAATGTACAAAATAATTTATTTGGATTTTTTCTGTATTGTACGACAAATGAAGAGAGTACATATTTCTGAGACAATTTAAATAAGAATAGGCCTGATAGATACGAGCCTGAAATCAAGACAAATAACTCTAATCTATATTCATACCTTACAAATGAAAAGCCTGATAGAATAACATTGGCATATTGTCTACTACGAAAATTTATTCAGTAACCAAATGTCGAATCAGATAAATTAGTTAAACATGTAATTTTTCATGATTGCTAGTAATGAGTCGAAGTTTATTTTGATAATTTAATTTTAAAAAAATGGAAGTGATTGTTGAAGTGAGGGTTGAGTAAAGGAAGAGAAGTGTGATGAAATTCAACTTATTTCAGAGAAAAATAGTTTGCGCGTGTTTACTAATCTTCCATATAGGCGTTGTGGCGTAATGGCGTAAATTACCACAAGCGACGAGCGTAGCATGATATAGTTAATGCGCCCTTTCAGACATGTCTACTAAAGCAAACATGGAAAGATGTTAATTCGAATTCAAATTATTAATTTACAACTAGGAAAACGTTTCCTTCTTTACCCAAATTTGTTGTGAATGCCTCGTTTTTTTAATTTTCAAACTCGAACTAGACACCGAATCCTTTCTTTGAGAATTTAGGAAAGCCGAGGATAATGTATGATAATATACGAATCTAGGTATATTTTTGTTTTCTTTCGATAGGAAAGCGGTATAAAAACTTTATGCTTAAATAGGTAAAAAATATTCTTCTTAAGACTTTGTGCGAATCTAAATAATTTTTTTTCAGGTTACGCAGGTTTTCACAGAAACCTCTAAAAAAGGTTTCAAATACGTGGCAATTTTCAAAACTGTTGTATAATTCAGTTGTGTGTAGAAATATCTTTTTTGAACTTTCTTGGTATACATAAAAATATCCTGTGGTGTCTATGTATCGATACTCATTATTCAGTTGGATACGGTTTGCCAAGTTTAAATCTATAAAATATGAAAATGTTCAGAAAACTCTTTTTTTATTTATAAATGACGAAAAAATACTCGAATTAATGTTGAACGTGATTGGTTAATCAAGGTTAGTTCTAAAAAACTAAAGATAATATTCATTGTCCAATGATTGATGATCCTATGGGCTTATCAAGGGCGCGTTAGAGAGCTTATAGCATTTCTTGGAATCTTGGTTACAGTTATGCTGTGCCTGTTATGTGCTTGAATATTTGAGATCAACAAATTAGTTTTTGAATAAGTACTTATTGGTTGTACTTTGATAATATTTTTGCTCAAATCAATAGTGCTGATATTGTCAACGCTTTTTGCTCGAATTTGTCGACCTATAACTGATTTATCACGTAGTATTTTCGTGACTTTCACAGGATCTGATTTTGACCGATTGGTTGATGATACACTTAAAGGTTCTTCTGGTTGATATGTGATTGACTTGCGCAAGCTAGCTTCGTTAGCTTTTGATATTCGCACAACTGAGACTGTTGAACGCCGAAGTCTTCCATTATTTGTATTGTTGCCAGCATCAGTTACTGATGCATTATTTACATTTTCTGTTTCATTCAACTTTTCCTTATTATCAAGTTGATTAATATCAGCGCGCTTAACTCTTTTGATAGAAACTGTTGATGAAGCTCTATGTCTTGCTGTTTCAGTCATAGTGGTGTGCGATTCTGAATAATATGAATCCGACACATTCACGCGTAGGCCTGATGGATATGCATTGCTCAGATTTTTGTGCGGATACATGGCATTATAGACAGGATAATCTTTGGCTAACAACGTTGATTTGAATGATTTGCGAGGAACTAGTTTTCTTTCTAAAATATCAGCTGTGAATATTGATGTAGAAGGTTGTTCATCGGGATCTTCTCTATTTCTTTTCTTTCGACGACGTCGAGCACCAGGTATCCTATTAGCAAAAACAAATTTGAATGCATTTTATTTCGAATAAATTTTTCGATTGTTGTTTCTATCATCTGATTGAATTTAGACCGGAAAAAACGACAGTCAATCTTCAAATCACTATTATATACCGACAGGCAATATTACATAATGCACCGTTACAATAATATGCATTTTTCAGACGAGCACTAGGAGCTTTCATTAATATTTTTTCTCAATGGTAGACAATAAACAATTTAAGCTGTATAATGAAAAGACTAAAATGAAATTGTTTACCATAAAAGTCTACACAAACAACAAGCACAACATGCTATTAACAATAAAGCCAATAATGATAATCCCAGAATAAGCAACCAATTTATTGGTGATCCTATTAAAATGTGAACAATAATATAATTGTGAAAGTAATTAGTTGAGCGATAATAAACAATTTAATAATAGCTTGGAAAATTTCAGTAAATTTTACCTGGGGAGTTTGTTGTTGTTGTTATTGTTGTTGTCGTTGTCGTGGTACTACAAAGATCAAATCATCAGAAACTTAGTTTAACTAGTATAATTTTATTCTAGTAAACTCCCTTAGTTTTTGGCCATAGTAAAATAATATGGTGATATGAGTCATTTAACTCTATATTTTTGGATACTACCCATGTAATAAAAACCGCATGAAAATCGGCGGTTAACCGCGGTTTTACCGGTCCGGTTACCGACTCCCATTACCGCAGAACGGATAAATACCGCGGTTTACCGCAAAAAATGATCCGGTATTCGTAACATGGGTATATAAGCAAATACAGTTAACATCGAATTTTACTCGCTGAAATTTTTCATTAGGAATATTTTGGCTGCATAAAACTTCTTAACGAACAACTATGATAGAGAAACTCGACTAGGAATCAACAACTCCTTTATAATTAAAATTAACTCTGTTTTTATTACTTACGTGGTAGTAGCAGTCGACGTGGTCGACGTTGTGGTTGTCGTAGTCGTTGTTGTAGTTGTTGTTGTACTTGTTGTTGTACTCGTTGTTGTAGTCGATGTTGTGGTGGATGATGTGGACGTTGACGAAGTTGTTGTTGTCGACGTTGTTTCTGTCGTTGTTGTTGTTTCCGTTGTGGTGGTTGTTGTAGTGGTTGTTGTAGTAGTTGTTGTCGATGTAGAAGATGTCGATGAAGTTGATGTTGAAGAAGTCGTTGTGGTTGTGGTTGTGACAGATGTTGTAGTTGTGGTAACTGATGTTGTTGAGGTAGAAGTCGTCGTCGTTGTGACGCAGAGATCGGATGAATTTTTCACAGTAAATGTAACACAATATGGGTCCGATTGTAGATGTTCACTATAATGAACAAAAAAAGAACAAGATATATTTTTATATTGAAAAAACAAATAAGGAAATTTTTACGTTGTCAATGCTAATACACATAGCTCCTCTGATCCGATTTGATTCGTTTGCGGTGTCCACGCGTATTTGACATAATAAATTGATGAATTTGTCGACAAACTTGTGAGATTACCTTGAGTCATACCCGTGATTGCACTTGTAACAATCATATCGGAAATGTTAGCTACAGTTGAATTGCATAAATTCATCACAGATATATTAAAGGTGATTGCGATGCCGACTTGTACTTCTAGACAACGATCGAGTGGGGAAATTATTGGTGCATTTGAACAAGCTGGCTGTGGTTCAACATAAATTAATATTTGAACTGGTACAGAACTCATTGGCGTATTACTTGTAGGATCAATAAAGTCTTCAACCTACAGAAAAAAAGAAGTTATATTATTTGATGTTGCTATCTTTTTCATAATCACATTGCCATTTTTTTTCTTTCTGAATATCTACACTTAATATGGAGTAGAGTATTATTCTTATGAAAAATAACTCGGCTATAGTATTATTAATGAGGATTATTCAATAGAATAGAAATTATGAAATGAATGTGACACAAGAAGGAATAATTTATCAGTAACAATCTGCTTACTTGTATAGCAACTGCATACCAAACGCCAGCTGTAGAACCTCTAAACGTAATACTGCAGTTAGACAGACTTGTTCCGTTGGGAACACTGCCTGGATAACAGATGCCACCACATTCGTTGATTGCCTGACGAATTGGAAACGATGAAGTAGATTTCAGTGTTCCTATTGTTTCAAGGGTTGTTGTTGTATCATTTGAGACAGCCGTAACAGTTGTTGCAACAGTAGTGACTGTCGCACCGGTTGTCGTAGCAACGGTAGTAGTTGTCGCAACAGTCGTCGCAGTAACAGTAGTGGTTGTCGCAGCGGTGGTAGTTGTAATTGGTGCCGCTACACAATTGTTAGATCCATCGCATATGCCAGATATACCAGAGCATCTTGCGCCACTACAACCAGTGCAAGAGCATGAACAGGCGAAGGAACACGAACTACCACAGCCACCACCGCAACTACGTCTTTCTCTAATACGAATCCATGCTTGATCACTAGTTAACCCGTTGTAAAAATGAACACTAGAAGGGTGTATGATAGTGTCTTCTTTATCGGATCGTTTTCGTCGTCGATATCCAGTTGTATATGATGACCATCGACAACGTACATCATCGCCAGCATTAACATCCGAAACAGGAATCTTAATTTGTATTGTTTTATTTACAAAAGCATACTGTGGAGAAATAAATTGCGCAACAGGTGGAGTATTTATGAAACCATCCGGTCTTATGCGAAGATCAATAAATGCTACAATAGACCACTCAAGACCACTCTTGGCAGGGCTATTCAATGGTAGCCAAGCACTTCCTCTATAAGCAATATAAAAATGTGCACCAGATGACAGTGTTTTTGTTTTCGTTGCTTCACTTCTCATCATTTTCATCGACGAACTAGCTGATGTACAATTAGTGAGAATATTAACTGGTGCACTCGAATATCCACCATCAGTCGTACAGTCAACAACACAACTTAGATTAGTGTTTGCACCACTAAATGTTGTAGTTGAGATCGGCACATTAGTTCTACATTGTACATATGGATATGTCCACGAATAAGTCTGCGTAATAGTTATATCCACTGAACTACCATTATCATACGGATTAACGGGAGCCCATGTAATTGTTCCTCCATTGAAATGTTTTCCATTCGTAAAAATGAAAGAACATAACAATATGACAATAATTTTATACATCGTTCCTGCAAACTTACATTAAAAAATAAAATCTGAAAATGAAAAATATCTCTAAGAATATCGTATGATGATAAAATCCCACGTGTTTATTCTTTTAAGTATAGAATATGCATTTAAAAAGTATTTTATCTTAAGCACAACTATTTCCGAAAAACTAGATAATATGAAGCGTAAGTTGTAGGAGTGTTTCTTTTGTGACAATTCTTGGTCTTGTCTAGTCTTCAGCACAGAGAACTGGGCGTAAATATTATTTGATAGGCTACCATGGTAATGGGTAGGGAAGGGACGTTTTAGCAAAAAAATGCCGAGTACTGGACTATTAAATCCATCGCTCTATCACGCTAGAATGGTAGAAAAATCAACGACAGTAGAGTGAATTGATTTAGAAAGTGGCTGGGTGCACTCAGATACACCTATCCATTTGACTATAGTACACTCAGCTCAGATAGGTATCTGAAATTAGTGATCATTGAATATTTGTTTATATCATTACTTTCAGATTTGCGTGTAGGTGTGGTGTAGTTTTAGACGATCCGGTTTCTGCACAATCGCACTTAAGAATCTATTACAAATCAAACTATAACATAACTTAATATTTAACAATGAAATGAGTTTACCTAAGTATGACTGTGAGTTTATGAGGTGTGGTTTGGCTGTCGCCATGGATTTGGTTGTCGCCATGGATTTGGTTGTGAGAGAACGATGGGCAGTCACAAGCAGTTCACGCTCACATCCACACCCACACACCCACACACCCACACACCCACACACCCACACACCCACACACCAAATTTGAATATCTAAAGCGTTCTTATATACTCTAATGGACAAAAACATTATGTATCGAAGGGGCCTATTTTCAAACAGTATAAATCGAATATTCATGGACCTTTCAGCCAATAGCTGCTTTTAAGTCTTCCCGAGAGTGCTTCAGATCTTTCTTAGTATCCAATGAATTTTAAAATCTAAGAGGATATTTGTGATCACGAAACTTAACTTTATCGAAATATAAGTAGTTGTACTAAAATCAGAAAAAAATGTTTTTTCGATCCTTGGGGGGTACTCCAGATGTTAAAAATTGAGTTTTCATAAAATACACAATAAACTCGTGGAAAATAATCAGAATTCAATGACGATTCTCAAGCTAATAAAATTAGGTGAAGATTTTCTGCGAAGTTAAGTTCCTAATTTGATACATCTCTTTTGTGATCGTGCAATTAATGTGTTCACCAAAATTGAGGGAAAACAATAAGTTTAACAGAAAATGTTGTCGTCCTGTCGTATACCACGCCTTTATTTTACTGCTCCTTCTCCACAACTACTAACATGTTTAGCATGTTTCGCCATTTCTAGCACCTGTTCAGCACCTTCTGCACTCTGTAGTAAAATTTGGTGCTGGGAGCCAGTACTTTTCTCCTTGCTTCTAGAGAGAAAGAATCGATATGAATATTTATTGAAAACTATATCGTATCACGTAGTTTCCGATTCGCACAATGGTGCACATATTAAATAACAAACCTTTTCGTGCCTTCGAACAAAATCGCTTTTTTTCAATACTACCAACCATTTTTAAATAGTTTTATTGCGCACAGAGATGCTTGTAATCAAAAAATAAATATGCAAGGTGACTTCTATTGTTTCTTTTTCAATTTTTCAAAGACTGACGAAAATATGAGAACCTATTTTGCGATGAATCAGTGAATAGAATTTGCGAGCATATGTATGTAATATTGCATGAAACCGTAATACTAATTATTTCTATTTTTATCAGAATCTACTTGATTGTCATTCAAGCAAACCTCGATTCTTTACTAATAGTCATCACCCATGTATCGTTTACAAAACGGGCTTCAAATATCAAGATGAATATATTTTCGTGTATTCGATATTCAAAATTCCAATTCACATGTTGATTATATGAGAAGAGCCTTATTCTATTAATCAAGAAAATTAATTTCTAAAGATCTATGTTAATCTAGTTATGAATAGAATTTTTCATCAGAAGAATTTCATTTCATGATGGTGGATATCAGCGTGTCTAATCTTTAGAAAAAAATACTATTTACAATGGTTAGTGGATTACATTCGACGTGACCCCTAAGATATATTAAATCTGAATGTCTAAGCTTCCGATAGAAACAAGAAAATATAACCTACTAAAAAGAAATTCTTTTTACCTTTTAATTCTGCAGCTAAACGATTTATCTGATCTTCACATTCGAATACGCACGCAAATGCTTGCTTCAAGAAGATTTGAATGCCATAGTATGATTTTTAAATAGTCGTCTCCGAAAAGAACTTTATGAATCAATCATAATTTATCTATCGTGAGGTCATAATGAAATCTGTCTTATACAAAATACTACTATAGTTCCAACTTTTTTAGCATGCATTAGTTTGAACGCTTACATGTTTTAAAATCTTCTCTTGTTCTTCTAAGTGCGACTTTCGTTCTTTATTAATCAAACAGATTATGAAATAGAAATACGATAGAGTTTTTTCTTATTCTGCGTAGTTTTATTAATTACGTTGCCTGTGTTTCTCATGAGGAATATTTGCAGACAGCATCAGCAAAAGAAAATGTATTTGCAATATTAATGAAGCAACATAAACAATAAAAGCTATGAATTCATCAAAACTTTGTTGTATTCAAGGAATGCATCCAGTTGCTTGTTTCAAAGTCCAAATTGTGACAATCTCTTATATTCATAGATTGATTGAATTGTCTGCAATTACTCATTTTTTTCAACTAACGGATGGGCCGAAAGTTTTGAAACAAAATGTTGCTTCATTTTTCCATCGATTAAGTATGTCAACAGAAACTAGAGGACAATGGGTTAGAATCAGAATTTTGTGCTCTTCCAGAATCTATGCTCAGAAGTTTTGTAAGACTCATAGTTTCGGAGTTATGAGCGAATTTTTGGAAGGCCTAAAAATAAAGTTTGGATGAAAGCAGTTATACTAACAGATCCAGAGAAGAAAAATGTGATCGTACGTCTTTTGGAGTTGATATCCTGCTATTGTTCAGTAATGTTTATCGGCACTTTCTTATTTTCGTCCTGAAGACGTCCAGTTTAGCTTAGCCTAATTTCATTTTGGTTGATTGCATCGCGTTTTGAAACTTTTTGGATGAGGACCTTGACCATATATGTCCTTCTCAACAATAATACCCCTTATTAAATATCTTCTATTACCGTTTTTTTTGCACAACGTCAAGGGCGAGTCTGTTCTCTACAAAGTGAACTAAGAACCAAGAGTCTCGCAGCATCCCTTCAGAAATAATCAACCTCTTTTTGACAGTCTGGAAACCAAGGAGTTTCGAAAACGTCTTTGTGTCTCTTACTGAAACTCTCATTACTCAAATAAGCCTCATTAGAAATTAATGACCAGCCTATCGCTTCTTAGAGAAATGTTTGCTCTTTATTTAGATGTATTTCAAATAAATTTTACGCCTATTTTGGATGGTTTTTTGCGCACTGAAACTTGTCCAAACTTTATTTTTAGGCTTTCCAAAGATTCGCTCATAACTACGAAACTATGAGTTCTACAAAACTTCTGAGCATAGATTCTGCAAGAGCACAAAATTCTGAGTTCAACCAACTATTCTAAAATTTCTGTTGACATACTTAAGCGGTCGAAAAATGAAGAAATATTTTGTCCCAAAACTTTCGGCCCACTCGTTAACACTGAGTGGTTCTATTTATGAAAACCACGGCTGCGACTGTCTGAACGATTCGACTGTACGATATTGATATCATCATTTTCACCTAAAAGTTCAAAAAAGAAAGTAGAAGATATCTATGAAGTCTAAATTTGATAAACTTAACTTACAAACTAGCGTTACCGCTAGAATTTTTTGTCAGGGTTGACTCAGCCCCTTCCCATCTTTAGTAACACTCACTCATGTGAAGAAATAAGGCAAAAGTCAGATTAAAGTGGATAAAAAAAGATAAAAAGTCGATTATGATTGTCCTAAATCGTACAAAATTAACTGAAGATTTGTTGATAATCACTGCAAAGAAGCAATTATTTTCGATGTTTTCATTCGTTTTTGGTTGATAATTATCAATTATTAATATTTTTCAAGTCACTATGAACTCATTTCAATTCTGAAGTTTTTCAGATGGGCCGCTCTACTGAGCCCTTATCTGAGATCATTTTTTAGTCACATCCCAAAGTTCGTTTTTTTGAATGAACACAAATCCAATGCAGTCCATTAGGACTTCATAGGGTATTTGAATTTGGGGCAAATTCAAAATGCTTATACCGCTATACCGCTACACTGTTATAGTGTTATAGCGGTATAGCGGTAGCTAGATGTCACGTATCCCTTACAGAGACAGAAAGGCAGGAGAGAAGGTACCCCTCCCCTACACCCACACTAGGTACCCCATCGTATGGTATAGTAGTATAGCGGTATACTGCTTATACCGCTATACCACTACAGTTTTTATTTTGTCACAAATACAGATGATTTTAATGAATTCGATTTTGCCGCAAATTCATATTCCCCATCATATGGCAGTTGAAGCAGCCACCAAGAGACTGTTCCAATAATTTTCTACAATCAAATGATTCATCAATTCCTACTCAACAATGCGTGGATGGGAGGAAATTTAGCTTCGTCTTGTAGTTCTTTTTAGCATTGAAACATTTTTCTACTGCGGAAAAATACTCGAACAGCTGCTTTTGTTGTTACAAAAAAAGCAGTCCCTAATAAAGAATGTTAGCGTAAACAAGATCAGCAAGAATCTTATTTTACCAGTAATTTCCAAGTGTATTTGAATTTTGAAAAATATATACAGGCAATTATTGCATTATTTTATTGTGCATTACCTTCTGTGTGCGGTGAAGAAGACCAATTCATTTTTATTAGCGAAGAAAAAATACTTAAAAGGCTTCCTTACCTGTGACAATCAACATTTTTTCAAATCGATAGCGTATTGATTTTTTCGGAATTATATATATGTGTACTTATTTATGAGCGTTGCATGGACACT